GGGCATCTAGGTTGTTTCCAGGTTCTGGCTATTACAAACAATGCTGCTATGAACATAGTAGAGCATATATTTTTGTTGCATGATAAGGCCTCTCTTGGGTATATTCCCAAGAGTGGTATTGCTGGGTCCATGGGTAGGTTGATCCCAAATTTTCTGAGAAACCGCCACACTGCTTTCCAGAGTGGTTGTACAAGTTTGCATTCCCACCAGCAATGGATAAGTGTACCCCTTTCTCCACAACCTCTCCAGCATAGGCTATCATTGGTGTTTTTGATTTTAGCCATTCTGACAGGGGACACCTGATTTTTGACAAAGAAGCAAAAAATATAAAATGAAAAAGAAGAAAACATATTTAACAAATGGTGCTGGCATAGCTGGATATCAACATGTAGAAGAATGAAAATAGATCCATATCTATCACCATGCACAAAACTCAAGTCCAAATGCATCAATGGACTTAACATAAAACCAACCACACTAAAAAAAAAAACAAAAACAAAACAAAAAAAACCCAACCACACTGAACCTCATAGAAGAGAAAGTGGGAAGTACACTTGAACGCATTGGCACAGGAGACCACTTTCTAAATATAACCCCAGCAGCAAAGACACTGAGAGAAAAAAATAAATGGGATCTCCTGAAACTGAAAAGCTTCTGTAATAAGACAAAATGGCAACCTACAGATTGGGAAAAGATCTTCACCATCTCCACATCAGACACAAGGCTGATCTCCAAAATATACAAAGAACTGAAGGAATTGGTCATCAAAAGAACAAATAATCCAATAAAAATGGGGTACAGACCTAAACAGAGAACTCTCAACAGACAAATCTCAAATGACTGAAAGACAAAGACACTTAAGGAAATGTTCAACATTTTTAGTCATCAGAGAAATGCAAATCAAAAAATTCTAAGATCCTATCTTTCACCTTTCAGAATAGCCAAGATCAAAAACACGGATGGCAACTTATGCTGGAGAGGATGTGGGGTAAAGGGAACATTCCTCTATTGCTGGTGGGAGTGCAAACTGGTACAGCCACTTTGGATATCAGTATGACAATTTCTCAGAAAATTAGGAAACAACCTACCTCAAGACCCAGCAATACTATTTTTGGGCTTATACCCAAAGGATGCTCAATTATACCACAAGGACATGTGCTCAACTATGTTGATAGCAGCATTATTTGTCATAGCCAGAACCTGGAAACGACCTAAATGCCCCTTAATCAAAGAATGGATCAAGAAAATGTGGTACATTTACACAATGGAGTACTACACAGCAGAAAAAAATGACATCTTGACATTTGCGGGCAAATGAATGGATCTAGAAAATACCATGTTGAGTGAGGTAACCCAAACCCAGAAAGACAAATATTATATGTACTCACTCATAAGTGGCTTTTAGACATAAAGCAAAGAAAAACCAGCCTACAATTCACAATCCCAGAGAGCCTAGACAACAAAGAGGACCCTAAGAGAGACATACATGGATCTATTCTACATGGAGAGTAGAACAATAAAAGGATCTCCTGAGTAAATTGAGAGCACAGGGACCATGGGTGAGGGTAGAAGAGAAGGGGAGAGTAAAGGAGGGGAATGGGAAAAATATATAGTTCAATAAAAACAATTAATAAAAGATAAAGTGGATTAACAAAATCTTGTTTTCCATCTAACTTTCTAGGATCATGAATTGAAAAGACCCTCCCTTCTGTGCATCCTCTTAGCAACCTCTTCCCCTGCTCACTGTACACACTTAAGTTTTTCTGGGCTCTCTGTTTGCATCCATCGGTCTATGATGCTCTTTCTTCTGCCAAACCATGTTGCTGTGGTCACTAGGACTCAGCAGTATATTTTGGATCATAATGGCTCCTGTCTTTTACTTTTTGCTCACGATTACTTTGTCTATTTGCATTTTTCTGGGTTTCATATATATTTGAAGGCTATTTTTTATCTGTGAGGAATATTGCTGGTATTTATGGTAAGATGGCGTTGAATCTGTAGATCTCTGTGTAGTATGGACATTTAAAAATTTTTTAATATTTAGCATAATTTATTTATTAATTCTTGAGAATTTCACAATATGCACCCCAATTCCACTCACATCCCAGTCCCCCCATATCCTCTTCTTACCCCTGCAGAGTCCCCCACAGATAAAAACTAAAAAAATAAAAAATTCAAACCAAACACAACCAAACCAAAAAAAATCCCCTTTACTCCTCTGTCTTTCTCGCCTCTCCAACACCTCTGCATTCATCCTAGTGACATTGGGAGTCCTGGTGCATCACACAATATGTCCTTTTGTGTAACACTTGTCTTTCACAGGTTCATTGCAATGAGTCATTGGTGTGGTTCAAGGCCTTTAGTCTCTGGCACAGCATCGTCAGTGGATCCTCACCTAACTCCACTCAGACACCCTGAAGCCATCCCGGGTCCTGGAGATCCTGTGGTCATCTCTCCACAGGAACAGTCCCTTTATGAGCTCCAGCAGGTCCTAGACAGAGTAGATGTCAGGGTGCGCCAACCCAAAAGGCCCAGCTGTGGGCCTGGGCAGTAGTTGAGCTGGTCACTCCGGGTCACTGGGGCTGCCCCAACTCAGGGAAGCAGCAAAACCAGCTCCCCTCTGCCCGTATGGTCAGGGCCAGTTCTTCCTATCCTGTAGTGAGGGGTGGGGCCATCACTCCCAAGTACAGTGTGGGGGAAGGGGGAACAGCTCTCCCATGAGGGTCATGGCCAGCTCTCTTTCTGCTGTGTCCACTGACGTGCAGGGCCAGCTTTCCCAGGATGGTTGAAGGGTGGACTGCATCATCAAAGGGTGGGCTGGCTCGCTGTGGTCCTCCGATTTCATCACCCGTGAAACCTATGATCCCCTGTGGGAAGTATAGATATTTTAACAATATTCTTGTAATTCATAATTCATGAACAAAGAATGTTTTTCATTTCTATCTATTTAAATATGTATATATTTGCGCCATGAGCTTATCATGATCAAGTTATGTAGAACTTGCTATGTCAGCAGTCATGCCCTGAAGTCACATAGCTTGGCCCTCCTTGGCCACCAAGGTGCTTGGATTAAAGAAGGACACCATTATACCCTGTGATGTTTTATAGTTTATAATTGTGGAGATCTATTATCTTGGGATAAATTTCTTCCTCGTTATTATCTGAGGGACCAATCTCACAGTAACTGTGAGATTGCTTCCTGGATTTCCATATCTGATAACTTGCTATTGCCATGTAACCACACTATTGAGTCTTGTGACCCGAAAGTTTGCTCGGTTGTTTATCAGTTCCAGTAGCTTCTCCGGGGGGATTCTAATTTTCATGGACAATATGCCAAGCTTCACATGTAGATGCATACAGTGTGGGAAAGATCCAGTGGCTGAAGAAATGTGGGTCCAGAGGCAGAGACAGCTGCATCTGTGGAACATCTTGGTGTGCCTTCATCTGCAGGATGTGCTGTTGGGTGGTTCCCATCAACCTTAGCGTAGCTGTGAAAGGGAGGCTGTCCTGCACGGTACTGGCATGGCCGGGGGGTCATGTGAAAACAATTTTGATGGTGTGGTCAGGTGAGGGAACCTGATATAACGTTGCTGAATGAGTCAAGGCAAGAACATAGAAAAGTGTTGTGTGGCCGGTTCTTCTAAATCACAATGATATGCAAAATCCAGGTGGTGAAATGCTGCAGATCTTGTAACTAAGGTAGCAGGACGGAGCGGATGCTACAAAAAGGAAAAAGAAGAGAAACAAAACTTGGAGGAATTTCTGAAGCAACATGTATTTTGGATTCAAATTTTCATGTTTTAGACTTTTGAGGTCTATGTTCCCCATGTTTATTCTCATGCTTCTTCCTTTGAGGCTGGATTAAAAAAAAACAATGGGCTGACTGACAAGTTGCGAGGAATCTGAACAAAATAATATGCAGCTCTCAGGGTAATAAAATAGGCAAGGAGCTTTAAAACCGTGAGAAGCGCTGTAGTGGCTGGTTTTGTGTGTCAATTTGACACAGGCTGGGGTCATCAGAGAGGGAGGAGCCTCTGTTAAGGAATGCCTCCTTGAGATCCAGCTGTAAGGTATTTTCTCATCTAGTGATCAACGGAGGAAGGCCCAGCCAATGGTGGTTGGTGCCATCCCTGGGCTGATAGTCCTGGTTCTGCAAGAAAGTAGGCTGAGAAAGCCATGGGGAGCAAGCCAGTAAGCAGAGTCCCTCCACGGCCTTTGAGTCAGCTCATGCACTCTGGGATCCTGCCCTGTTTGAATTCCTGTCCTGACTTCTTTTAGTGATAAATGGCAATGTGGAAGGGTACACCAAATAGACCCCTTCCTCCCCAACTTTCTTTTTGGTCATGGTGTTTCTCAATGAAGACAAAGGCTGATATCATTTATGGTTAGTTTCTACTAGAGAGATTAAATAGATATCAGAATTAGGAATATTATAGACAACCCCCATACAGAAACAAAGCAATAAAAATGACAACAACTGCCTCTTTGTAAAGTGGGCTCAGTTTTCCTTTTTGTATTCTATCTTATTATTCTGGGGAGGCGTGGAGGACAGACAGGAAGTAAGGTGCACATAAAGAGGTCAGAGACCAGCCATGTGGAGTCAGTTCTCTTTTTCCGTCTTTAAATGAGTGCTGGGGACTAGATGTTCATCTTGTGGTAAGTGTGTTTACCCACAGAGCCCTTTCTTCCGCTCCATAAACCGTGTTCCTAAAGTAGGACCATAACTTCATGCGATGACACCTTTAGTTCTGTGTTGAGTGAAAATAAAGCTAAAAATATTTACTACCTTACTTCTTGCAGGATCATGCATTGTATAAGACAGCAATAAAACAAAATTCAGAGGGCAGGGAGGGGTTGAGCTCTTGCGAGAGTCTTCGCAGCCTTTGCAGCAGTGACAGCCCCTTTGTCCCCACACCCACACACAGATTAAACATGACCTCTACCATTGCCCATTTTTCATTAGCTGAACTGCTTCGTTGACCTTGTCGAGAGCCAGGGTGTGGGTGATCAGTGGATCTAGGCTGAACTTCTTTGCCGTGTAGTCAGAAACCAGCTTAGGGATTTCATCCTTGGTTTTCCAACCTGGAAATACGCAAAAGAGCACAGATTTATGAAAGATTCTACCTATGAGATTTCAGTATAAAAGAATGTGGGGAATACGGTGTGGATTTGACAATACCGTATACACTCATTTGAAATTCTCAAACCATAAAAAAGAGATTAAGGAGCAAAGAAAGGAAGGAAGACAGGAAGAAAGACTGGCCAATGTTAAACTGGTAGAGATGTTTTGCTGTCCCATCAGCTTGCCCTAACAGGATGAGGGCTATTTCAACCACACAACCCACAAACAGGTTTGTGCCCTTCATGGGACCTCTGATGCCCCAGACACAAAGGTCATAATTCAAAGCCAATAGGAAATAAATCTCATCTTCAATGTTCCTGGTGTTAGGTTGCAAACTCTGTAGACCAGTGAATTCAAACAAAATGTATACTGAAGGCCACAGTCTTGAGATGCACAGATGAATGTAAAGGTTAGAAATAAGGACGGGGTAAGTAGTTCAGTTGGGAGAACTCGTGGCTGTGTGAGAGAGGCTCTAGGTTTGCTCTTCAGTACCGCACTCTCTAAAAGCATAGACATCTCCCCCCTCCCTCTCTCCCTCTGTGTGTATTTCTGTGCACATGCACATCTGTGTTTGTGTGCTGTGACATGCAGCTTGATGAACAAGCCAAATAATCTATGGGCAGAGAAGAACATCATGGCAGCAAACTTGATTTTTTTTTAAAGAAAAAAAAAGGATATGACTGGAGAGGTGGCTCAGTAGTTAAGAACCCTGGATGCTCTTCCAGAGGACACAGGTACCATTCCTTATACCCACATGGCAGTTTACAGCTGTCTGTAACTCTGGTTCCAGGATATCTGACTCCCTCTTCTGGCCTTCATGGGCACAAGCCATATATGTGGTGTAGACAAATATGCCAGCAAAATACCCACCCACATAAGAAGAAATAATAATTAAAAAATAAAAAATGCTCAATAGCACAGCCTATCTTAAAAAAGAGAAAAAGATTATTTATTACTTAAAATTATGTGGTGTGTGTGTGTGTGTGTGTGTGCGCGCACGCGCGTGCGTGCAGGTACCATAGAAGGCCAGAGATATTGGATCTCCTGAAGCTAGTGTCATCATGTGGACGCTAGGAACTCTGGTCCTTTGCAAAACATACATGCTTATAACTGTTGAGCCATCTTTGCAATCCCTCAAGCTTCCTTTTCTTCATTCCAATTAATGTTGGGTTCTCTAGCCTTTCTACCTATTCTCAAAATGGCCCCAAACTCTTCTAACAGTTGTATTTTAAAACTTGATTATCCTATATGTAACCACAAATTCTAACTAGGGTTATCTGTTGCCACCCACGAGTCTCATCTATTTCTCTTTTGTTTTTATTGGTGATCTAATGAAGTATTTTTATGTATGTAAAAATACTTGTTGTTGATTATTTCAGTGGGAGAACATTAAAAAAAGACCCTGGGCTGGGGAGATGGCTCAATAGGTGGAAGAAGTACGTGTGGGGAAAGCCTGGAGAACTGAGTTTAGTGTCCTGAAAGTCCAGCTCCCAAGTTATTACCCAGGATAACTCAGAGACTACTTCAGAGGTAGCTTTGTAACTTTTTTGTTGCCTCAAGCCTCCTGTAAAATATGTATTTAAATCAGGTATTCGAAGAAACACGGGAGAATTAAAACATAATTTGAACTAAAAAGAATTAGAGAAAATTAGGGCAAGGGAATTAGAATTGCAAAATAAAAAAAAAAAAGGAGAATGGCCCTCAGATTGTGGGTGAAGTTATTATAGAAATCTGTCAATCCTCGCTTGGGAGAAGTAGCCTCTGAGTTAAATGATAAGGGATAGAGCCATTTGCCATGGCAACACAGATATGTTTCAAGGTTTCTGGTATACGACTGAGACCAGAGCCTGGGGCCACAGTGCCAGATGAAACAGAGATCTGCACACACAGTGCAGACTTTGGCAGGTGACGATTTGGCATGGTCTCTTATGTTGCTTTGCGTTAGAAACCTTGGTTAGGCACATGTGACTTTCTCCTTGTGCATATCTGTAAAGTTTTTAACTTATGACTTGTTTATGCAAACATTAAGTCTAGTTTGAACTTGCTCTGAGGTAAAAATGAGCTAATTGTGTGTAGTTTGTCTTAGACACGGTAGAAACTGTTGTTTTCTATGTTAGTTCGAGTAAAAGGAACAAAGCAAGCTTTTATGTGCCTTGCATTCCTCTTGGGACAATATATTTAGTTATGAAGCATATCTTAGTAAATTTTCCGTATATCAAAATTATACAGGTTAATGAAAAGTCATCTTCCTGACCAGCTATGGATATATGTGTCCATAAGACTGAGACACAATCATGAGATTACACACTACAGTGCAGTGTTAGGGAGACACCACAGCTGCTTTTGCACATGTGAAGTTACACACAGGAGCAACAATTTCCATAGTTGGTGGTCCCATTAGCCTTGACTGAATGGGATTCTCCTCCATCAGAAAATGATTCCTCTGGTGGGTTGACATCTGAATGCTAGTTGTCACCTGCTGTATACTCCATGACAGAGTTGGACTCCTGGAAGCCTTTCAAGGTGGACTAAATCTTACTCCACAAAATTGACCATTGACCTCCACATAAGCACTGAGGCATGCACATACCTCCCTCTTACACACATACAAACACACACACACACACACACACACACACACAAAGATAAAATATAAAATAAAGTGAAATGAATAAAGAAGGAAGGTCCTAGGTACATAGACAAAATTAGGCAGTGTTTCTCAAAAACCAAGTAAGGTTGTGTGTTTCTCAGCGAGAGCACTAATGGGATTTTGAATAGGGGAAGTTCTTTCTTTCACACATTATAGGAGGTTAAGAGATCTGTCTCGCCAACATTAGCAATACCCTTTGTCGGAAGCTGTAAAACCAGAGGACTATATTCTTTATAGGAGGAATTAACTTCATTAATGACTGTTGAGTGAATGTTTAAGTGCTTAACGAATTTAGTTACAAGGGTTGTTCAAGATAACGTGATCTTACGTTACAAAGCTTAGCTGGACACATGCATTTGGAATAAAAGCCATCATAATAAACACAGCATAGGGAAGCAGCAGTGGTGTTTGTTCAGTGATCCAAATAGAGGAACTGGAACTGCAGTGTTCAGATGAATTAGGCCTTTCCCCCTTACACGTCTTGCCATTTGCTTGCTGTGTAAATGGAGTGGGTAACGCTCTCAATGTCTGACAATCCATCGTCACTGGTCACTTGGAGATCACATTTCCCAGTGCTCAGCAAACTCATAATTCCCTGGTTTTGTTCAAGAACTCACATTACCTAGAGTCTTTTTTTTTTTTTAAATCGGATTTTTTTTTTGGTGGGGGGGATGGCTCAGCAGTTAAGGGCACTGACTGCCCTTTCAGAGGACCCAAGTTTGATTTCCAGATGGTTCACAACTGTCTATGACTCTAGTGTCAGAGGCCTGGTTACCCTTTTCTGTCCTCTGTGGGCACCAGGCACCCAAGTGCTACACAGACTTACATGCAGGCAAAACACCCACATACATTAAAGTAAATAAATATTAAAAACTTAAAAACTGCAACAACAAAAACATTAGGTTGCTTGCAGATGAGCCCAGAATCCTAGGCAGTAATACATAATTTTATTTATTTTCTATTTTAAATAAAAGTTTTCTAATGCTTTTATATTTTTAATAATGGAAAATAAAGGATTACATGAAACGATTTATATCTCTGGATAAGAGAATTTTCATTTGCTTGGAATGAAAGCACTCCCACCTCACCTTGGTGGTATTTCTTGAAAAGTACAAATCCATCACTTTTCTGGGATAAGATATTATACTGCTTTGACAATGACTGCTAATAGTTGAGCATATACCTGAAGGAATCCCAGCGGACATTTATATAATTTAGCTGGGGTACTGCTATGGATTTTAATACTGTTGAAGTTTGGGTAGTTTTGAACCTAGGACTTCAGCAATTGGCATGACTATTCTGCCACTGATCTCCACCCCCAGCGCCTAGAATCTGCTGTGTTGCTTGTTTTGCAAATCAATAAAAACTTGCCTTTTTCTTTTTTCCTCCCCTTGTATGAAATAAAACTTACAAAGAGACGGAGGACATAGTTAATATCTACTTTTTAACTCGAAATTTACGGAGGACATAGTTAATATCTACTTTTTAACTCGAAATTTACGGAGGACATAGTTAATATCTACTTTTTAACTCGAAATTTAAACATTGAAACAAGACTGTCATCTAGAATTGGTTGATGTCTTTTCTTGGGCACTTCTGGCCCATTTTCTGTTTCCTCATTCTAGCTCCTCACTGGTAGCATTCAGCTTCTTCTGTACATACCTCCCAAAATTGACCCTTTCAGACTACGTCCTGAGAAGAACAACCGGCTGCTGATGTTGAGTTGAGCCTTAGAGGCAATTGCTCCAACGATCACGCAGACCCCATGGTCCTTGTTGCAGGAGGCCAGGGCAGTTGCCTGTTGTAAAACAATGTAAGACAGAAAAAGAATAAGACCACCTACTTCAAAGTTGGACCACTCTTATTCTGCTTGACTGCTTAATGATCTATGACTTCCTTTCTGATTTCCCCTGTCCTTTTTGAGATAGCATCAATATTATGAAGATGTTCTGTATCATAGGTAAGTTATTGTTTCTGCCTAGAATAGCATTTGGGATTTTAGGATTCGGCAAACTGAACAGAGATGAAAACTGTTTTAGACCATTGTGGTAATCAAAGTGACAATGGTTTCTGTAAGGACTGTGACTGTGGGTGGCTGGTTTGAGCTGATGGTTTACTTTTAGATATCAAAAGTGATAGTCAGATGTTTGTGTAGTATGTCATGCTAACAAAGTGATCACACACCATCTTCCCATTCATTATTTTCAAACAATTTTTTTTTTTTTTTAAGAACAAGACTGGGATAAAGGCTTTGCTATGTGCTTCCTTGGGTAAGAGGGTTATCTGCAGTGAACTAGAAGAAATTTTGAATTCTGGGAAAAATACTCAGGTTGGAAGAGACTCCTTTTTGCTTTCTTTCTATGTAACTTCCTGGAAGATGGGTCCATGCAACAGCAATGCGTCATTCTGAGGTCAAAAGACGGCTCTCCTCAGAGTCTGGTGTGATGGCCTTCATGTTTATCTCCAGGAAGGAAAACCACCACTCATTTAGTCAGTGAGGAAATGCTTTGCTTGGTTCAGAAACTCACACCTGACATGGAAGCTTTTACTGAAAGACAAAAGCTCATTGTTTTCTAGGCCAATTTAGCTGAGCCTTATCTCGCTGATGTTTTCTGGCTTGAAAATCTTTGGCATCTCAGGCCACCTGTGGTCATGTAACTTCTGACTGGGGGTTCTTTATGCTTAATTGAAGAAGTATTTTGGAACAGAGGGGTAAATAAACACAATAGCAGACTTGTAGATTCTGTTGGAAAGTAAATGGATGGAATGTCCTAGTGGGTTTGTCATGGACTACAAGGAAAATTAACTAGAGGGACGTAGAAGGAATTGTAAGATGTTCATTCAGTTAAAATAGCAAACAACAACTAGTGTAAGATGCGGGTAGTTGTCACTTCCAAAGACCACATACCACTATTTCTGGGTTTCCAGTGACCTCAAAGGAGAAGTCTATTCCGCCATTCGTCATATCAAACAAGACTTCCTGAATGGGATTGTCAAAGTCTTGCGGGCTGATGCACTCAGTGGCACCCACTGTCTTGGCCTTCGCAAACTTGTCTTTGTTGATGTCCACAGCGATGATCCTGGCTGCTCCAGCTATTTTACAGCCAATGATGACAGACAGACCGACACCTCCAAGGCCAAACACAGCACAGGTGGAGCCAGGGGTCACCTGGACACAGATCAAAAGCAAAACAAACATGAACATTCCCCTCTCTGGTAGAGGGTGATGCCAAGTCTCATGCTAGCAAGGAAGCTTCTACCAGTGAGCTCTTCCCCAGTCTTCTGTGTCCTCAGTGACTCTGGGACAGCAAGACAGTTGCTTTGCATGAGACAGAAGGAAAGAACGTTTTTGAGTAACATACACCTAGAGAATTTTAGTTTCTCAGGCCGTTTCTGGGTGTGTGATACTTTTACCGCAGGAGCAAAAATCTACCTACAAGGAGAGTTTCAAGTCCCCGTGTGGAATTTGCATAAATAGAAGTGACGTAATGAAATTTCACTGCATCTTAGGATTCATTTGGGCAGAGTATTTCGTTAGTTCTGGACAGTTTAGAATTATTTCAAACAGCTTCATCTTCTTGAAAACTTCCCTTTCTCTTTTCTACCAAATTACTTCAGAGTCATTGCTCATGGAAGCTTGCACTCTCTCTCTTTCTCTCTTTCTTTCTTTCTTTGCAGCATGCAGTGTGGCACCAGTTTAAATTGAACCCCTTCCAACTTGATAGAGTGTGCATTTTGAACATGCTCTAAAGACACAGGAAATAAACGGCCTACTCCTTGACATTTGAAATAAGAATTAGAACCTTCTGAAGGAGCTCAGTGGAAGGAAGACCTCATATAAGACCATATGCCTTAAGGGAATTTTATGATACCAGCTTTCCTTTTTTTTTTTTTTTGTCTTCCACTTATAATCTTTCTGATCCTAGATACCATGAGATGCTCAGCTTTGTTCCACTCTGCATTCCCTACCGTGATTTCCTGCCCCAAGGTAGCCCCCAAGACTGTGTCACAGACTAAAATCTCCAAAGTCTTGAGCTAGAACAAATCTTTCTTCTTTGCGATGTGGCTACTATAGGTATTTTGTCCCAGTGACACAAAGCTGATGAAGATACATCCCATCTCTGTGCGGAGCCTTGAGACTAAAACACAGGGGACAATGCAAAGACTTAAATATCAAAGACCCATAAAAGAATTGAGCTGGGGTGGTTTGAGTGATATTCTGAGAGAGGGAGCTTAACTGTAGCCCGTTCACTGAGAGATTCCCTGGCCAATGTAATCACCTCTCCATCGGTTCTCTTAAGCCCTTAAAATTTTATTTGGTGTGGCCTTATGGGAGTAGGTGTGGCATTGTTGGAGGAAGTGTGTCACTGTGGAGGTGGGCTTTGAGGTCTCATTTATGCTCAATCCACACCCAGTGAGACAGACTACTTCTTGTAGCTTGTGGGTGGAGATGTAAGAACTCTCACCTCCATCTCCAGCACCATATCTTCCTGAATGTTGCCTTGCTTCCCATCATGATGATAATGGACTAAACCTCTGAACTATAAGAGAGCTACCTCAATTAAATGCTTTTCCTTTATAAGAGTCGCGTTGAATGTGGTGTCTCTTCATAGCAATAGAAACCCTAACAAAGCCATTGGTGTACTTGGATTGAATCCAGGACCTTGCGCATATTTGGCATGTATTCTGTCCTTGAAGGACATCTTCAGTACCTCTCCCTTTCTTTTTTAAACATTCACTGCTAAGTAATATACTATTAAATTAGAATGTAAACTTGATGAGTTTTTAGCGGCAGAAAAGTGGAAACTTTCACTTTTGTTTGTTAAACAAACTGGAATATGGAAAGACATAGTCATATTATAATGTATTATATTTGAAGTCTGTATACCTATACTTCTGGATGTCAGGGAATGCATGGGAAGGCAACCAACTAATTTAATAACCTTAGCAGTGCTTAGAGGTAAGCTTGTTTGCTTGTTTTCCCGTGGGGTATGATCATGTGGTGCCCCAACGTGAAAGGTATTTTACCTCCTTATCCCACTCGTTCTATTTTAAAATGAATGTAAATGCCCCTCACCTTGGCAGAATTGATCGCAGCACCAAAACCAGTGGCAAACCCGCAGCCAATTATGCACGCCTTCTCCAGATGAGCAGCTTCATCAATCTTGGCGACTGAGATTTCCTTTATTACCGTGTATTCAGAAAAGGTGCCTGTAGCGATATATTGATGCACCATCTTTCCTCTGCAGGTGATTCTGCTTCTGCTTTCGGATATCAGATGTGTCCCTGACAGTCTTTTTTATAGGTGAAAGGAAACAAACTTTATGTTATGTTGTATTAAAAAGCCTAAATCTCTTCGAGTGAAGCTGAATTAGACTTTAAGAAGATGGAGTTATAAAGGCTTACCTAATTTCCTTACACATGTTGTTCTTGGAAGTGAGGCAAGCGTTACATTCTCCACATTGTGGCAAACATAAGATGATGACTTTGTCACCTAAAAAGCAGAGTAACTTATTAGGGTGCTAGTGTTAAGTAGTCTGATTTCTTAGGATGTCAATGAGGCACCAAGAAGATGTGATAATGAAGAACTATTTCCACGTTTAATTGTGTTTGGCCACCAACATAGTTTCAGCATCCTGTCCAGCCCCAGGCCATGGCTGAATCTCTAGGAGCTGGCCCCAGATCTACCCACCTTGTTAGGCACTTTTGGCCTAACAAGGCAAACTCTTTACCCAGGCAAAGAGTTTAGTTGCGTGCCTTTGTGGATTGAAAGAAAATGGCCCTCAAAGGGAGTGGTACTATTAGGAGGTGTGGCCTTGTTGGAGAGGTGTGGTCTTGTTGGAGGCTGTGTGTCACTGTAGAGGTGGGCTTTGAGGTCTCATGTGTTCCAGTTATGCCCAGTGAGACAGTCCACTTCCTGTTGCCTGCAAGTCAAGATGTAGGATGCTCGACTACTTCTCTAGCACCATGTCTGCCTGCATGCCACCATGCTGCACCATGATGGTAATGGACTGAACCTCTGAAAATGGAAGCCACCCTAATTAAGTGTTTTAACTTTATAAGGGTTGCCGTGTTCGTGGTGTCTCTTCACAGCGTTAGGAACCCTAGGACAGCCTTCAACTACATCTTATGTCCTCTCCATTAATTTCTACTGTGGGGCTTGAGTCACAATAGATACAGTGCTCAAAAAATGAGGTCCAGGATTGGGGAAAGATTAGCCACAAGCTGTGCTTTGTGTTGTACTTCATCTCTCTCTTTGTGGCCATGGAGAGCAAACATATTCCTATATTGTGTGTGTGTGTGTGTGTGTGCGTGTGCGTGTGCGTGTGTGTGTGTGTGTGTGTCCTTTGTACCACTATGTTCAAATTTGGAGGAGAAGATCAGAGTGTCTTGCTTGGGATGAGTTAACTGACTGATTCATTGTCTGATATTGCCAAGTATAACAATTTATTATAAATTTTAATTTAAAAGCTTTGTTAGAATTTAGGATCTTCTATTTTGGTTTTAGTTTTGGGAGGTCAAAGATCTCTGAAATGAAAACTTCGAAGCTGAGAAGAAAGAAATTGAGGAGGAGAAATTAGAAAAGGGAAGAGACTCCCATGCTCGTGGATTAGCAGATTGATCATCATGAAAGTTATCATCATATCAAATTATAGATTCAATGAAATCCCTATGAAAATGCCCATAACATCCTTCACAGAAATAGGACCCCCAAAATCCTAAGATTCATATGAAAGTCCCAGGATAGCCAAAGCAATCCTGAGCAAAAAGAACAATTCTGTATAAATTATCATACCATATTTAAATTTGTATTACAGAGTTATAATACTAGGACAAAACCAGACATAGAAGATCCAAACTTAAGTGCATATACCAATAGCCATCTGATAGTTGGCAAAAATTTACACTGGGGAAAAGACAACAGCTTACACATATAGTGTTGGAAAAACTGGTCTTTCATATAGAAGTTTGAAATTAGACCCATATCTATTACTCCTCTCTCTCCCCCATAAAGAAAGAAAGAAAGAAAGAAAAGAAAAAGAAAAGAAGAAAAAACTCCAAATGTGAACTCTGAAATGCTGATGCTGAAACTCTAGAAAAATAGCACAGGGGGTACCCTACAAGATATCAGTGTAAGAAAGGGCTTCCTGAATGGAGCTCCATTTGTTCAGTAATTGAGGCCAAGAACTGACAAGTGGGGCCTCACAAAACCAAAAGGCTTCTTCTGTATAACAAAGGGAAGACTCAGTTGCATGAAGAGGAAGCCCAGAGTGGGAGAGGATGTGTGCCTGCTGCGTATTTGATAGGAGATTAATATCCAGACTAGATGAAGAACTCAAAGAATGAAGGATCAAGAAATCAAACAACTCATTTTGAAAAATGGGCTAACGACCTGAACAGAGAGTTCTCAGAAGAAGAGATAATGGCCAAAAAAATCTGAAAAATTGTTCAACAACCTCAGAAATGAAGAATATGCAAATTAAAACCACTTTGAGATTTCATCTTACCCTAGTCAGAATGGCTTAGGATCAAGAAAACAACTGGCAGGTAATGATTGTAAAGACGTGGGGAGCCGGGACCCCTTCGTCACTGTCGGTGGCATTACAGAATGGAATCCACTCTGTCTTTCAGTCATTTTGAAATAAGCATGCAGACTTAATTAAAAAAAACATCAAAATTTGTTTACTATATGACCTAGCTAAACTATTCTTTGTCATAAGCCCAAAGGACTCACATTGTTCAACTCCACAGATATTTGCTCAGCCATAATTATTGCCACTTATTGGAAACAGTGGCAAGATAGAGGCTATATGCTCCTCAGTGATGAAAGTATAACGGGATCATGGTCTTGATACACAACCCAAAGAAAATGAACTCATGACATTTACAGGTAAATGGATGGAGCGGGGAAATATCCTGGGTAAGGTGACCTGGAAAGACAAATGCCGTGTGTTCTCTTATGTTTGTGAATTTGTGTTTTGGATTTGAGTTTAAATCCTGGAGCAACGTCAGAAGCCAGGAAGACACAAGGAATCCTGGGAGAGTAAGTGAGGAGGAATTCTAGAGAGGAGGCCATAGGACAAAGATGCTGTGAAGGAGGAAAGGGAAGAAATAGTGTGAGGACCAAACTGGGGAGGGAAAAATAGGGTGATACAGATGGAGAAAGAGTCAGAAAGGATAAATAACACTGAAAGTATTGGAAAAATCCATAATGAAATATTATTTTATAAGCTAATCCACACATATATACACATCTATACATATGTATACACATATATACATACAGATATATCTATGCACACATTTATGCATATCTATACACCCATATAAACATGCATATATATGATTTATACATAACCATACACATACATATCTATACATACATTTGCACATCTGTACCCACATTTATACTTATCTGTATACACAATAAATATCTTTATATCTAAATAAACACATACACATCTACACACGTATTTATACATATATACACACATACACACATCTTATTTAAATGGAGTTTCCAAACATCAGGTGACAGTGTTCTCCAGGAGCCACAGACTATCAACCTCCCAATGCCAGTGAAAGTCCACCTCCCTTCAAGTTGTTGGCCAAGGGGATCCAAGAGACCCAGCCAAACAATATGGGCCACTGCCCTCACTTTATTTACCTAATTATTCATTTTTCTCTCCTTACTTATTAGCGCTAGGTTGGGTGCATTCCACTTCAAAATGTAAGTTTGAAGACTAAAGCTAATATCAATCGCCGTGTAATCTAGGGACCGTTCTGACCATCCTCTCTGGGAAGTGGGCAGAGTTTCACCTTTCTTTTTATTTGCTTGATTGTGACACATGTAAGAGATGCCCTTAAATTGGTCGGATGTTGCTTCCTACCTGTTTTCACTGTGCTTACTCCTTCTCCCACACTCTCGACTATTCCAGTTCCTTCGTGGCCCATAATGATGGGGCAAAACTGGGAAAGCTCTTTATCAGCCAGACTTTTTATATCCGTACCACAGATTCCTGTGGCCACCATCTGTGTGGAAAGCACAGAGAACTGAGATTTGTCTGTCGCGAAGGAGCTTCAGGTCTGCGGCTCTGTGACGGTTTCTAGTGCAGCGCTTCTAGTCAGCACTCATTGTTGACAGCTGTCAGTAATTATTTCTGTAAAAGAGCGTGGTGTTCTACCTCCACTAATTTCCAAGCTAAAAATGTTGAGTCACAGTTTAATGATTTCAGAAGAGAAGCTGGGGAAGCACACCGTGTGCGTTGGGGAGTGGCTTCTTCACTGCTGTGAGAAACTATACCAAGCAGCTCGCAAAAGGAAGAGTTTACCTCCACCCAGCCCATCCCCTGCTTGCCATCACCTCCCTTGCTCTATATTCTGGTTCAAATGCACATGTGAGAGAGTCACATTACAGCTTGTCAGAAAATGGTTGGGTGTCTTGAGTCTAAAACTAGTTGTGAGAGTTGTAACCTTGCTGGAGAGTACTCGATTGGGATGTTAAATACCACCCTCCTCGCTCAGTAGAGAATAGACGTCAGAGAAGGTTCCTTGAGAGGAGGGTATGGTGTGTGTGGGTAAGGGAACTTAGAACTATCTTTCTGTAGTCCATCTGTAAATAATACATACTTTCCACTGCTGTAATGGAAATGATCTAATGACCTTGAACCACAAGTCATGCGAGCTGCTTTCTAGCTCTCGGGGAGCCAGCTAGAGTCATCTCAGGATATGTCCTCTCCAAACCAATCAATCCATAACTTCAGAATCTCAGGGATGAGTCGCAGTTGGCATTTTTCCAAGCTGCTCAGTGATTCCAAGCATGTAACCAAGCTTGAAAACCCCCACCGAGTGAGTTTTCTCATTCTACTAAGCAGTGCGAACAGACACCAACCCTCCCTAACTTTTCCTGGACAGAAGGAAAACGTGGCTTTCATTTTGAGTTGGAAATTCTGTAAAGGATATAATTTACAGTGAACAGCTTTGGGTTTGACATGGAAATGTGGATTTTGTTTTACCTTTATTCGAACTTCCTTTGCCCTTGGTGGGGCCACTTCTATCTCCTCAATGTTCATTGGGGCCCCAGGCGTCCAGAGCACAGCGGCTTTGCATTTGATCACCTGGGTAGAGCAGATGAGGGGAGAAAGGGAGACTTACCAGATCTGAAAGGTGGGAGATTCTTACATTAATCAGTACTAGAAAGTACTTAATTCAAGAGGAAAATAAAAGAATTGGAAAATCTAAATATATACTCCTGGTGGCTGTTAAACCAATACAATTTTTTCTTAAGCTTTCAGCCTCTATATTTAAATTGGTCCAACAAATAACACATATTTATAGAAAAGCACACATATATGTAAGAGTCTTGTTATGTAGCCCAGGCTATCCTTGATCTTGTGATCCTCCTGCCTTCACCTTCCTGGGTTGCCAATATAGGCACATGCCACCACTCTTGGTTAGATGCTAAGCATTTGCTTTTATCATGAATGAAATTACCCACTAGTTACTTAAGAGTTGTAATGAAATTATAATGTGGGCTTATTTGTTATCCTAGATATGAGGGATTTAGGAGGGAAGCACTGAGTTATAGAGCAAGAGCGAAGTCCATCTAATGGTGGCGATCAATAAATGGTGATGGAATCATTGGAGATTGGTATTGGAGAGATTCCTGTTGCAAAAGCAGTTCTTAGGGGTTCAGATATCAACCCATCATCTTTCTTATAAATTATCTTCCATTTTTATGTATTCAGTCACGACTTTTGTGTAGATGACTTGGATAAACTGTATCTATGGGGCAGGTTTCCCCTAAAGATTTAGATAAGCATTTTTATGCTGTTTGACTGTCTTCCATATACTGTGAACTCAACATGTTAATATATAAACAAGACATTCTTTCTCTCATCTGTACCCTAGAAGACACAGTACACAATTTACTTTCCTTGTTTCAACCATAAAATTCAATCATTCACCCAAGGCAGAAACCCAGGAAGTTTGGATGTCAGTGTAGTGATTTCTCAGAAAATGAGGAAACAACTTTCCTCAAGATCCAGTAATACCACTTTCGGGTATGTGCTCAACTATGTTCATAGCAACTTTGTTTGTCATAGCCAGAACCTGGAAACAACCTAAATGCCCCCTGACCAAATAATGGATAAGGAAAATGTGGTACATTTACACAATGGAGTACTACACAGCAGAAAAAATAATGACATCTTGAATTTTGCAGGAAAATGGATGAAGCTAGAAAACATTATTTTGAGTGAGCTAACCCAGATCCAGAAAGACAATTATCATATGTACTCATTCATAGGTTGTGTTTAAACATAAAGCAAAGAAAACCAGCCTACAAACCACAATCCCAGAGAACCTAGACAACAATGAGGACACTAAAAGAGACTTACATAGATCTAATCTACATGGGAAGTAGAAAAAGACAAGATATCCTGAGTAAATTGGGTACATGGGGACCATTGGGGAGGGTTGGAGAAGGGAGGGGAGAGGCAGGGAGGGGAGCAGAGAAAAATGTAGATAGTGTAGGAGGTCCTTCTGTCCATGTGTTGCTTTCATTGGTTCGTGAATAAAGAAACTCCCTTGGCCTAGTTGATAGGGCAGAACTTAGGCAGGCGGGGAAGACAGAACTGAATTCTGGGACGAAGAAAGGGGAGTAGGAGAGAAGCCATGGATCCTCTACCTGAGACACCAGTTAGAATTTTACCTGGTAAGCCACTGTCATGTGGTGATACACAGATTAATAGAATTGGGTTAAATTAAGATGTAAGAATTAGCCAATAAGAAACTAGAGCTCCAAGCAGTGTTTTTTTTAATTTATTTATTTATTTATTTATT